AGGTCTTGACCTCCAGGCTCTGGACTGTGGCCTGGGGTGCTGGAGGCTGCAGAGACAGGGAGAGCCAGATGCATTTATATTTTACAGAGGCCCTCCGGCAGGCTGAACAAGAGACCCTGAAATGGTAAGGCAGTGGGGAAGCAGAGGCAGCAGGCCTCGGACAGATGAGGTGCCCTGGAGTTAGGCCATTCGCTGCACAGCAAGGTCAAAGGCATTGCTGGGGCTGGCCAGTGAGCTCAATTGGTTGGTGCATGGTGCTGATAACACCAAGGTCAAGGTTTCAGATCCCCATACCGGCCAGTCACCAAAAAAGGTATTGCTGAAGCTGATCTTTAGCCGAGAGCCAAGGGTGGGCTCCTGTCTGGGCAAAGTCCAGCCTGGCCCCAAGAGAGGGAAGAACTTCCCAGAAGCCCCAGCATCTGCAAACAAAGAAAACCCTCTGTCCAACTGCACACAAGTGCAGACAGACAGCCAGGCCTGGGGTGGTGCCAGGCCAAGTGCTAGAGCAGAACCAGGCCCTTTTGGGCGCCCATCCGTGCACAGTACTGGGAGGCCCCCAACACTGCAGCAGAGGTATGCCAGGGAAGAGGGGAGATGAGTCCGGCTCCCCAGGGACCAAGCCCTGGGAAGGCACCCACATCCAACATGCTCAAAGGTCCCCTGACACAAGGACTATATTTCAAACAAAGATTAAAGATTCATTACATCCAGTTTCAGCAAGGCTGAGAGAAAGACGGTACAGGTGGGATGTCAACCAGCAAGTCAGTTTGGACAGCAATTTGGCTACAGCCATAACTCATCATTTCCATCAGTTCGCCTTACAGAAAAGTTCAGACATGGGCACAAAGAAAATGTATGGGAATGTTCACTGCAGCACTTGGTAAAGCAAAAAACAAAACAAAACAGGAAACAATCTTAATGTCTTTCAACTGGGGCTACAAAATAATTTAGCAGACTTCATACCATGTAGTCATGAAAAATGAAAAGGTAGACCTGTGTGTACCGTTATGAAAAACATCTCAGAATAATACATAGAGTATAATAGCATTTCTGTTCAAACCAGACATACACTATGTACCCAGATTGAACCATATGCAACTGCCACTTTCGAAGATCAAAATCGCTCAAATACCAGCAATTCCATATGGTTCAACTAACATATAAAGTCACAGGAAACAGTCTAGGCAAAAGGGACTGGGTCTGGGAGACCTATGAAGGGGGGCATCTGCTTTTTATTCTATATTTCTGATTTGCATGAATCTTTTATGACAAAAGGACATTTATTTATTATGTATTAGAAAACAAATAAATGTTTTAAGGTCCTGTTGCTTTCCATGTAGCACCTTGGCTCTGTCCAGCAGAGGGCATTCAGTCCCCACCTCTCAGCTCCTCCCATCTCCACCCTTGGCCTTTAAGATAGTGCCTGGGAAGAGGAAAGGAATGCCAGCCTCCTAGGGAAAGAATCCAAGATGCGGGAAGACGTTATAGTGCGATTCCATGTTGAAAAACCAAAAACATCCTCAATGTCCAACTGCAGGAAAAGTAACCTGGCCATGGTGTGCAGCACCATGAAGAAGGCTTTTGACAAACTTTGGGGTGTTTAATGTACCCTTTATAGGTACACAGGAAATAGGACTGTGGCTATATAAAAATAAGCTCCTAAGGAGACAGGAAGAAAATGCCCCCAAATGGTACAAGTGGTTAGAGAGAGGGGATAGGATTATAAGTAATTTTCTTTTCTTTACTTTTTTATTAGAAGGTTTTACTGCTTTACAATCAGCCTAAGCAAAATGAGATATGTAAAAATATAAGAAGAAATGGAGCCACAGTTTATTAGTATAGCCCAGCTGGATGCATATATTTGATGGTGTCCATAAACATCAAGACAGTGATCATTCCTTAAATAAAGCAAGTTCAGCCCAGTAAGAATCCAGAGTCTAGAGCCCGACTGGTTTGGTTCAGATCCCAGCTCTGCCAGCCTTGAGCAAGTTACTTAACCACTCTGAGAATCAGTTTACTACTTTGCAAAGTGGGAGTAATACCAGTTCCTACCTCAGAGGTACCATTGTTAATGAGGATGATTGCTGAGGAACCAGGCCGGGCACACAGTAGGTGCTCAGCACATGCTGGCAGCTTTCATTATCATGATCATCCTTCTTACTTGAAGTGCCTCTTAATTCTTCTTTGACGATTTTTTTTTCAGGTGGCTGGCCGGTGCAGGGATCTGAACCCTTACCTTGGTGTTACCAGCTCTTTGAAACTATTAAAACTGAATGAGATCTCAGCACATGCTGGCAGCTTTCATTATCATGATCATCCTTCTTACTTGAAGTGCCTCTTAATTCTTCTTTGACGATTTTTTTTTTCAGGTGGCTGGCCGGTACAGGGATCTGAACCCTTACCTTGGTGTTACCAGCTCTTTGAAACTATTAAAACTGAATGAGATGGTAAATGACCGAGAAAAAAACTCGAACCGGCCCATCCACACAGAAGCTGGAGCACGATGCCTCAGGTGTCTGCAGCCCTTTGTGGTTCCAAGCACGTTCACGTTCTTGTTTGAGAGCAGCCCAGCAGGGCTGGCAAGACATGTTTGATTCTGCTTTTAAACTTGCTAAGAGGATGAATAACTTTACACTTGTTTGCACAAGAAACGCTTTGGAGGGCCAGCCCGGTGGCGCACTGGAGAGTGCGCCTCCCGCCGAGGGTTCGGATCCCATGTGGAGACCGGTTCCCACTCACTGGTTGAGCGCGGTGCGGGGCGCAACACCGAGGGTTGCGATCCCGTTGCCGTCCCCGGTGCGGGCGCGACACCGAGGGTTGCGATCCCGTTACCGGTCAGTAAAAAAGACAAAAAAAGGAAAATAAATAAATAAATAAAAAAGAAACGCTTTGGAGGCTAGGAATAATGACATAATGACGAACCCCTCCTGAGCCCGGGCTGCCCTTTCTGCCCTGACTGCCTCTCTTTACACAGTGGGTATTAGGGACTCCCTGCAAGCCAAGTGCCCCCTCCTGACAGCCAGAGGCCTCCTGCCAGGCACTCTGCACCAGCTTCAGCACCATCCCTGCCCTGCTCACCCAATCACATTTGTCAGGGAACTTTGAGGTTTTTGGAGACCTTTGGGAATTTCTTTTTAAACTTAGGGTGGGGCCGAGCCCGTGGCGCACTCGGGAGAGTGTGGCGCTGGGAGCGCAGTAGCGCTCCCGCTGCAGGTTCGGATCCTGCATAGGGATGGCCAGTGCTCACTGGCTGAGCGTGGTGCGGCCGTTCTCAAAAAAGGACAAAAAAATAAAAAATAAAAAAATAAACTTAGGGTGGTGGGATAAGGAGAATGGGAATGTCCATAGTGCTCATTTTATGTATTTTAAAATTTGTCCCTACCGGCCAGCACAAGAAATATAAATAAAAAACAAAATAAAATTTGTACTGACCTAAAACATACATACTGAAAAATGTAAACATCATAAGCCTATAGCTGGATGAATTTGCACAAACTAAACACACCCATGTAACATGAAATAGAATATCAGCAGCACTTCAGAGGCCCTCCTATGACCCCTCCTGAAAGGTAACTACTAATTATCCTGACTTCCAACAGTAGCAAATAGTTTTACCTGTTTTTGAATCTGATGTACATTCTCTGCCATATGCACTTTGTGTTTGGCTGCTTTCACTCAGCGTTACATTTGTGAGACTCTTTGTTGTGTGTCACTGGGACTGGCTCATCTTCATTTCCGTGTGGTATCCCATTATATGAATACAAGACAATGCATTTATCCTGTCTACCATTAATGAGCACCAGATCGCTTCCATTGTGGGGCTATTAAGCACAGAGCCACAATAAATGTTCTCACGTACATCTTCAGTAAACACATATACAAATTTCTGTTTTGCATTTATTTGGGAGTGAGATTGCTGGGTAGGTGCATAGACAATGCATTTATCCTGTCTACCATTAATGAGCACCAGATCACTTCCATTGTGGGGCTATTAAGCACAGAGCCACAATAAATGTTCTCACGTACATCTTCAGTGAACACATATACAAATTTCTGTTTTGCATTTATTTGGGAGTGAGATTGCTGGGTAGGTGCATATTAAGCTTTAGTAGATGCTGTCTTACAGGTTTTCCAAGAGGTTTATCTAATGCTTATTTTTACAGTATTCTTTTACTTGGGCTGGTTCAAAGACATAAAACATATATTTCATAGAACCTGGACTGTCCATAAAAGTATCATAAAGAGGCCCTCAAGCAAAGAGGCTTCAGGGGTTTTCCACCTTCTCTAGTGACAACAGCTGCTGCCCAAAGGGACAAATACATCTTAGAAACCTGGACTCTATGATTGGCCAGTCCAACCTCTTTGCAGACCCCGAGACCATTCTGATGCCATCACACTGACTACTAAAGCTGCCTATTCCATAGCCAGCTCAAATTCTAGAAATCTCTTTCTCCTCCTGTTCACCTCCCCCTGGCCCTAGGGCTGTGCTCTCTATGCCAGTCATCTGAGTTTTGACAATGGTACTACATCCCCACTCTTCTCAATCCAAGCTGGAAGGCCCAGACTGTGCCCCCAGGCATAAGGGACTGACCAGGCTAGGAGGCCACGGGACTGATCAGGCTAGGAGGCCAAGGTCCAGTAATGGCCCCAGACCAGACCCTTCCCTCCCGCATTGCCCATGTCCTTGGGGTCCGGAGCTCAGGACATTTAGTCTGTAGCTTGGAACTTAGGGCTACAGAAAGACCACTCCCAAGTCCTACAGCTCCTGGCCAAGAGGTCAGGGTACTGGGGACAGACGTGAGAAGCAGGAACAACCTGCCCTCAAGTGCCAGTCGACTCACTCTCTCAACCCACCCCCCAGGGCCAGGCTCCCATTCCCTCCTGCATGAGGCCCCCAGTCATAGAGCCGTAATAGACACCACCTGGCTAACCCCAGCCCCAGGTGTGAGCTGGGCCCAGGGCCCCCACCCCAGGACGCATCCTGCCAGCAGCTCACTTACTGACTTGGTAGCCCAGGCCTTCTGCATGAATCCTTTTGGCCATGAATTGTCCTTCGATCAGTGCTCGAATCTCCACATCCCAGGGGAATGCTGAGACCTGTCTCCAGGAGAGGGAGGGCACACAGTGAGGAACTTTGATTGTCCACTTGTTTGAGTGTAAGCATGTGTGTGTGTGATCTTTTTAAACAACAGCCCAGATCTGGAACTCAGAGCTGGGCTCTCTAACTACTAACTTTGCCTGTCACGCACACTCACACAAACATAAAACTTACATACAGTGTACAACGTCATGTGTATCACTTTGGGGAGTCAGAGGTATCACAGAGTTCAGTCTCAGGCAGCCGAGGGTTCAAGTTCTGACTGTACCACTCAGTTCTGTGACCCCGAACAAGTTACCACCACTCAGCTCTGACTGTGAATAAATTATGTAAATTTTGCTGGGTGTGCATTCTGTTTCTTAACAAAATTGAGGTAAATGGCCCCTGTTTTTTAGGGTTGTTTTAAGGATCACATCAGCCAATAGTGCCTGGAATGTGCAGCTGATACTCGCTGAGAGCCCTGAGCTGATGCTGAGAATCCACCACAGTGGAGTGTCCTTCAAGCTGACACTTATGGGCATCCACCCCAGGCTGGCCCCTGCTCCTCCAGCACTGAGACCAAGCTAGAACCTGCCACGCTCTCCCTCAAGAACCACTACACTCTCAGCTTACTCACCTACTTCCAGTTCTCAAATTGTTCCCTCCGCCCAGAAGTCTGCTCCACTCTTCCCACAGCGAGATCCTTCTCAACCTTCCAGGTCTCAGCCTAAAGGCCACCTTCTCAGAAAGGCCCGCACCTGACCACTTCACCTAGGATAGGCCCCCAGCCCACCACTGCTTTCTCTTGAGGCACTTTGGTCTTTGCTTTCTGAGACATATCACACGCTATAATCGCACATGTGTTCCTTCACTCATTTACTGTCCATCCCCCTCCTAGACTGTGGGCTCTACAGAGCAAGGATTCTATTCTCCTGTGTGCCTCCAGTGCCTGGCACCAATCAGACATATCTGTGGATTGAATGAATGAATGAAGAACACTTCCTTCTCCTTGACAAACCCAGGACTGATCTGCATGAAGGAGACAGGCATATCTTCTCTCCCTGATCAACAGAAACCAAACTGATCCTCCAGCAGAAGCCTGAGATGAGCTTCCTAACACCTTATAGAAGGCTTTCCACTTACAATCCAGTATGTAATGCCATCATCAGCCATAGAACCCAACACCAACTCTGATTGTTACCGTTACTAGATAGAGCATCTTATGGAGGCTCCCCACACATTTCCTGGGGTCAGAAATATCTCTTTTTCCACTTACAATCCAGTATGTAATGCCATCATCAGCCATAGAACCCAACACCAACTCTGATTGTTACTGTTACTAGATAGAGCATCTTATGGAGGCTCCCCACACATTTCCTGGGGTCAGAAATATCTCTCAGGTCCAACCCAAAATGTGGTGATGACTCTCTGGTAACTACCTAACAGAAAGTCAATTCCAAGCAGCAAGAATTGACTGAATCCCTCCTGGGAGAGGTCACGTGGTGGAAGAAAAAGAAAATGGCAGCTTCTATTTCCAGCAAGAGAGGATTGGGTTTGAGGACCCTCCAGCACCCGTGACCTTGTGATTCTAGGCATGTTATTCAGCCTGAGCCTCTGCACCTCAATGTCTCCATCTGCAATGAGGGATAATCATGTCTTCCTCACAGAAGTGCTTTGAGTAATAAATGAGGAGGATACAGAAAACCATGAGCACAGTGACTCAATATGTTAGCGCCTCCCTGTCCCAGAGGCCCTTTCAATCGGGAGGAAATTCATGATCTCAAGATATGCAAGTTCTTGATAGGTGTAGGAGAGAAGCTCACAAAGGAAGTAAGCTCTGTGACAGTGACAGTCAGTGTGAACACATGTCCACTCAGAGGAGAACTCCCTGGTTGTCTGCACTCCTCCTTGAGGGCAAGGACACAGTCTGTCTTAGATGCTGCTACTCCCCCACATCTAGAATGCACGCTGGCACATCAAAAGTGTTTGTTACATCAATGGATGAATGAATGAATAAAGGCCCCAAAGGTAGTATAATTTGATCGGCAATTGTTAAATTAAATACTCAAAATTGAAGCCAATGTGTAGCTCCAATACAAACAACACACATACCTCATGGTTTTCTGCATTAAATCTATGACGCCCAATAATTTCAGGGGTAATCTCCATTACATCAAAATAAAAACCTGAAATAAAACCAGGAAGAGATTAGCTGTCAGTGGCCAAAAACCAAAAGACTGACTTCTCAACAGACTTAGAAAAAAGCAGGGTGTGTGGGCCGGCCCGGTGGCGCACTGCTGTAGTGCGCCGCTTGGGAGCGCAGTGGCGCTCCCACCAAGGGTTCGGATCCCACATAAAGACCGGTTCCCACTCACTGGCTGAGCGAGGTGTGGGAGCAACACCGAGGGTTGCGATCCCATTTCCGGTCCCCGGTCCGGTACGGGCGCGACACTGAGGGTTGCGATCCGTTGCCGGACACGAAAAAAGACAAAAAGGAAAAAAAAAGAAAAAGAAAAAAGCAGGGTGTGTCCCCAGATGAGACCTGTGAGTATTCAGTATCCCTGTGTCCCTAGGTGCCCTCCATCCCCAGATGAGACATGTAAGTATTCAGTTCCTTCTCTTCAACAGGACAGCAGGGAACTGGCAAGGCCTAGGCTAGCTTTCTTAGACACAACTCTGCCTACTCACACCTGCAGCCCAGACCAGGAAGCACCTGCCCAACCAATCCACACCTAACACAGGTTTGAAGAAGGCAGACATATGCCCTCCTGGTCATAAGTCCTACCCAGATGTGGGGCACTTTCCCTAACAGAACCTTGTGTCTGGGGTGGAAAACCACATATGGGATGCACCAGGATAGAATGGATACTGCAGCTGCTATCTCTGATGCTGTCACCAGGAGCTTTAAGGGGACAGGAGATGCAGCTGTGGCCAGATCTTCCATTTGGCACATGGAGCAGCAGCCAAGGGACATCCTCATGGCCCCACCCTCCCTTGGAACACGGGCTCCCACGTCAGCTTGGAGGGCCTGTGGAATGGAAGTGTAGACAGACAGGACCCCCCCTGGACTTCTCCATGGTCCTCCTCTTCCCAACTCAGGACCCCAGGCCCTACCCCTCTGCAGGCAGCAGCTGCCCCCTCACAGGCCCTAGCATCACTAAACAGCCTACCCAGGTTTCCGCCATTCCCCATCTCCGTGGACTGCAGTGCCTTAGAGAACTCGCTCCAGGAACAGGAAGCAGACTCATCGCGGATCTTCTCTCTCATGAGGGAGCCATTTTTAAAGCTGCAGAAGTGCACACAGCTCTGAGGCAGGGAGCCAGTGCTCGCTGACTGAGCCACAAGTTTCAATGAGGAGTCCCAGGCAGAGGGACTGCAGGTCAGGCTGGACCACAAGCCCTCAGGCAGTGCATGGCAGGCACCCAGAACCTCGGGTACCTGAAGCTCTCCTTCAGGTTCCAGGCCCCGCGCATGCCTCTGGGAGGCACAGGAAGTGCCCTCGTCTTGGGCTCTGTTTACACAGGAGGCTGCCACAAAGGAGCCCCAGCTAGAGACGGGGAACTGGGGATTCTGCACCTGTTCCACCTGTACAGTGGGGTGGGGCTGGCTAGATTTACAGACCTACATATTCTCCAATGCTTCTTGGGGCTTAGAGGCTCAGAAACCCTCTGGCTCAGTAGCTTCCGACAGGTCTCTGAAGGCCTGTGTTCAGATTGCAAAGCACATCTCTTCTGTGAGAAGGGTCAGGAGGCAGGACATCCTTCCTACCATTTGTGGAGGGTCCACCACGTGCCAAACATGCCACACCACCACTCTGAAGTAAACGCACTTATTGTCCCCACCTATGAGGAATGTGGGGCTCAGATATGCCATGGGGTTTGCCCAAGGTCACACAGAATATAGGTCATGGGTTAGGATTTGAACCTGGGTTTGGAAGACTCGAGGTCTTGGGTTCTTGCCAACCCAGTTCTGCTCTCAGCAAGAGCTGAGGGTCCCTGGTGTCTCAGCTGCCCATGAGAGTCTTCTTAGTGGAATGACCTGGGGTGCTCGAGATGGTGCCAGACCTGCCCACACCTCCTTCCTCCTCACCCTGGGGATGGTGCCAGCCAACACCCAGGCTCACCACAGGAGTGCCATGTAGTGCTGGGCATCAACCGGATTGCAGAAGATGTGGCCTTCCAGGGCAGGCATGGGTTCCTGGAGCCAGAGAAACAGGGTGTCGCTGGTGCCCAGGCTGACCTGGGGAGAAACGGGCAGAGGAGGGGTGCCTGGGGCTTTGCCCACACACGCTGCTGTGCATCCACCCACCTAAATCCCATCACTTCCTCCTCAAACTGTGGCCTCAGATGAAATGCCATCTCCTCAGAGAAACCTCTTCTGACCCTCCCATGGCAGATGAGTCAAAGTCGGCTCCCAGACACAAGCTCTCCTGGACCTTCTGTGCTGGTTTTCCACAACTTAACACAACTGCATCTAAATAACGGTTTGAGTGATGTCTGGTCCCACATGACTTTCCCATTAGATGCAGGAAGGCCTGGGTTATGGGGAGCTCAAGCCCTCTGGCCCCATGTCTGACTCTCTGTCACCACGCCCACTAAAATTGACCACTGTCAAGCAGGCAGGGGACCTGCCCCCTCAGCAAAGAACAATGACCTTCTAAGGAAGGAGACATGGGCCCCCCATCCCCTCTCTCAGCTGCCTTTTGTGACTGACAGACCCTCTGGTAGGTAGTGAAGGTACTGCAGAGACCCCGCACCCTGGCTCCGCCTGTGGGTGTGAGAAGTCACCTTACCGCAATGTCACCTTCCTCCAGCCTCATGCCTGCCAGCGATGCTGAGAATGAGAAGGGAGACTTCAGTTAGCTGCAGGCCACATGGGAACCAACGGCAAACCACAGTGCCCCCCAGACAGGAGCACTGCCCCCACCTCCCACCCACTCCCCATCCTGGGGTAGAGGCAGGAGCAGGACGAGCTGAGGGCTCAGGAGGCCCCGAGAGAAGGTCACAGGGGCCAGAGGGTGGAGTCTCTGTGGTCAGGACCCTGGGCTGGGAAGTCTCTTCCCTAAAGGGATCCAAACTCCCCACCACTGTCAGGTGCTCCCAGGAGTGCAGACACCCAAGGGGGCCAAGTCAAGACACCAAAGATACACATGGCTGAGAAAGACGAAGCCTACACGGGAGCATGAGGGCTTTCCTCCACCCGGCAGTGTGGAAAGGAGGGGGCCAAGGTTATGCTCGCTGTGCCCCACCTTAGACATGAGGCCCAGCACACAGTAGGGGCTCACTAAACATCGAGCGAATGAATGAATGAGTGAAGAAGTGGGGAGAGAAACGGGCGCACTTGAACACTGCAGTCAGCGGTATGTGTCAGAAGCCTCGGATCCAGGAATCCCACCTCTGAGAACTTATCCTATAGCGACCAAGGGGCAGGACAGGATTTGTGTCTCAATGTTGCTTGCATTGCCCAAACACCATAAGCAATACCAACCTCCATCCATAGAGGACCACTGAAATAAATGCTGGGACAACGGAACCCTGGACAACCATTAAAATGAGGGTGCAGACAAATGTTGCCCAGGTTGATTAAAAGAAATAATGCTTGTTTATGAGTGCAGAAAGAAGATGAAAAAGATAGACATCCCAATTTTAACCCTAATTTGGTGGTTCCTTGGGAAAAGAACTGCTTTTCCTGGGGTGGGGTTTAGGGTCAGTCATCTGGGTGCTACTCAGCATGGCCCACTTGGCCTCTCTTGAGAGACCTGAGGGTCCCTCCAGGAGTGGCCTCAGGAACCCCTAGAGGAGAGGAGGAGGAAGAGGAGAGGCCAGGGAGAAGACAAATGACAGGGCATGGACTCAAACCCGCATCCTAGAGGAAGGGCTGAAGGAACTGAGAGGCTCAGCTTGGAACAGAAAAGACAGGTAGGGTGGGCATGAATGCCTTCTTTCATCACTGAGCAGTTTTCACCCAGAGGGACCAGACTGACCAGCCTAGAGGCTCCTGTGGGCAGTGTCAGGGCCAACGTAGGGCATGTACAAAGAGTCAGATTTCAGGGAGTAGAGGGGAGGGGGGACCACAGAAGGGCTTTGCCAAGAGGTGGGACAGAAATTCTCAAATGTCCAGCACGGACCCAGTCAGGCTGCTCAGAGAGTGAAATCCTGGAGGTACTCACCTGGGTTGTCCCCAGTGAAGGCCACTACTTTACATCCTGGAGGAAATCCATAGCGCTGGACATGGTAGGAAGAAATGGCTCCCTGAGGAGAAAAAGCAAGCATGCTCAGAGGAGGTAAATCCCATCCGCTTGGCACAGATGTCCCTACCTCGGGCCACGGGAAGTGCAACAGCTCCAGTCACTGGGGCTGAAGGAATCTCTTGCAAAGCTGGAGTCACATCACCCCTGTCATAAACCAGTATGTCCCTCCTGCTCAGAAATAGCCAGAGGAGCCCAGCACAGGTCTGGAACCCCAAGCATGAGGTCACCTCAAACACCACTTAACTCTGAGATTCAAGGCAGCTAGAACAAACCAATCCCCACGGGTTGTTCTGCCTGTGTGGCATGTGCTCCCCACCAAAGGGCCCCCAGGGCAGGGCCCAGGTCTCTACTCCATTGTCCCCACAGGACAGCCAAGAACAGGGCTGGCCAACCAGGCACACCAGGGTGTTCACAGCCAGTATCTATCCCACCCTGATGGTCACATGTTAATATTACCTGTGGAACTAGGAACTATCTTAAAACACTTTAAACATATTAACTCATCTAATCTGCACAACAGCCCTGTGAGACAGACAGCAGTATTTCCATTGTTCCAGATGAGGAACCAGACACAGCTGAAAGTCACAGAACCCGTTAGTGGTAGGAGCAGGAGTTGGCCCCAGGCAGGCTGGTGCCAGGGCCGGCACTCTGCCAGGCTCCCTGCTATTCCTTTCTATTTTCCCCAAGGCTGCCTGTTTCAAGCCTCACTGTGGTTGCTAGTGCTAGAATTCCAGTTTGCTGTGCATTTTTTCCTTAGGTATGCAGTCATTCAGATATTATGTCTTCAATTTTTTTCCTATTCTCATAAATTTCTAGTGAAATTTGCCAAAGTGTCCCCTCCACAAGGCAGTAGTCTATACGTGCACCTGAGCACCTACTGTGTGCGAGGCACTGATCCAGACACTTCAGTTTGACTTATGTCAAGCACTTGTCTTAGGCTAAACTGAAAACCCTGTGCGCATGCAAAGGATGGAGCTCGTGTGCGGCCGCGGCGCTTCCTCAGTAGCTGCCAGCCCTTAAAAGAGCCGCATCACTGGAAAGGGGACCTACCACAACTGAGCATGAGGGTGCTGGTGGGCCAAGCTTCTCCTTTAAATGAGGGGCACAGGCACCAAGACAGGCCTGGGACCAGACTTTGTCTTGGATCTGCAACAAATTCATTCCAGAACCTGAGGAAGAAAGGAAACAAAAAATAAAACATCTTGAAAAAGGTCCTTTTGTGAAAATACACAAATCGGGCAGGGAGCAGATAGTTCTCTCACAGCAAATTTGTTCCTAGAGTTCTTTCCTCATGGAAGGTATGCAACATGGCTGCATCGTTCTGGAACCAGAGAACCAGAGAGCAGCAGGGCTCTTGGAAACACATGGCACCACCACCTCCTCCAGACATTCTTCACAGACGCAAACACCACAGGTAGCCTAGACATCTGCTGCTCCAAGGCCTGCCTCAGGCCCCAGGGACTACTGGCAACATGCTGACTACATGTCCTTTGGGTTTCGAGGTGTCTACTCAGAGGCAGTCCTGGTGCTGCTAAGGGTCAGCCCTCAGGGATTTCCCAGTCTCATCTGACTTTTCCAGGGAAGCTCTCCAGCTCCTCCAAACTTCCTTGTGCTGATCACTGAGACCAGCTCATTCGGTCTTTCCTGAAACAGACTACCTTTCCCCAGGCTCCCTGAAGATGGGAAAGGACAGAGACCCCAGAGCACAGCTAGAAGGAGCTTCTCCTCCACTGGGCCAGGGTGGAGGCAGACAGAGGTGGGCTGGGCTGCCGATGGTGTCACATGCCAGGTGAGGGGGTCACACAGCTGGTAAGTTAAGAGGTGACTTTTGAGGAGAGGGTAAGGGGAGCCAGGTGGCGGCCAAGCTGAGGCTGAGGCACAGGAACCTGTGGACTGCCTCTTGACCAGTGGGGGACTCCGCAGCAGCACTGACCAGCATGGGGCACACGTGGAGAACATAGCTGGCCACTTGGGCTCCTCCAGGCTACTGTTCTGCTGTCCGAGTTCCATGGAGCAAGCTGTATGGAACCTTGTTTCCTCCTCCAGATTGTGAGTGACCCCTACAGCCACTGCCTAGCCACTTTACTCTCTCTTCCAGAACTAGCATAACGCCTGGCACACAGTGGCTCTCAGACACTTCTGTGAACTCCCACGAGGCTTGGAGCAGCCCACAGTCCTCTCTGAAGCCACATGCGCAGGCTGGGCTCCTGCTCCGCATCCTCCCCCTCTGCTGTGCATAATCCTCTTACTCTCTGACTCATCCAAGATTTCCTTCAGCAACCTCCTCCCAGCTTTCTCTCCTCACGGACATCATTTGCATTTTATTTTTGTCAGGGTTTTGATTCTAGAAGCTCACAGCTCTCATGAGTTTACCAAATGGGAATGGGAGTCTCAATAAATAGCTCCTTGTGGGAGCCAGGCTCCAAGATGGTCCCTGTTGATCCCTCCACTTGATGCTTACACCTTGTCAGTTTCCTCCTAACATTGTGCTGGGGTCACTGTGTGTCACCAGTAGGATGAGGCAGAAATGATGGCATGTCATTTTCAAGACTGGGATGTAAAAGACTCAGCAGCTTCTGCATGGCCGCCCCCCCCCCCCATGTCATTAATAGTCCTACAGGGACCCACATGGTGAGGAACTGAGGCCTCTTGCCAATAGTCATGTGCATGATTCTGCAAGCAGATCCTCCAGCCCCAGTCAAGCCTCCAGATGACTACAGCCCTGGCTCCCAGCTTGACTGTCACCTCTTTAGAGACCCTGAGCCAGAACCACACAGCTAAGTCATACCCACACTGCTGCTCCTCAGACACTATGTGAGAAAATAAACATTTATGATCTTAGCTGCTAAGTGCTGGGGTCATTCATTAACAGAAAAAGAACTAATACAATCCCTTCTTGGCAACAGATGATAGAGCCGCAAGATTGGTGCCTATCCAAGGCGGATGGGGCTCCCAATTGTCCCCATGCCCACTAAACAGGCACCCATCTAGGGTGAATGGGGCTCCCACTGCCCCCATGCCCCATGCACACTGAAAAGGCACCCACCCAGGGTGGATGGGGCTCCCTCTCACTGCCCCTACATCCCCATACCCCCATGCACTCAGCAAGCAGCCACCCAGAGCTTTGAAGGCTTACCATCGCTGTAGTCAATAGGGGAGTAAGAGCCAAGGAACAGGGAAGCAGCAAAGCTACTGACCAAAGAAATTCTCTGTAAAAGAAAGAAATGCAGTGCAAGGTGGCTCTCTTCCACATACCCTAAGCTCCTGAATGCTCCAGACACGCACATACAACATGAAAGGAGTTTTAAACTGGGGAGGGATGTGGAAACTCTGAGCGAAGAGCCCAAGTAATGGTGGAGACTGAATATCACAGATAAGAACAGCTGGAATACCAAGAACTCACTCTTGGGATGAGTACTCACTCTCTGCAGTTTCTGATAGGCCATAAAACTGCCAAGTTAGATAAAGACAAAAAACAAAAGTCCTATGAATAAGCCAAGCTTAGGGAAGCTGGTTTTCTATCCGTGACCCACATGTTGAGGAATGTGGTGCCCTGATTTCCTTCCTCTGTTCCTGTAGTCATTACATCTGGTCATGAGGGAAGGTGGAGGTGTAGCCACAGGACTGAGAACTAAATGAGACATTCTGGGGGTTCAGGACAAGTGTAAGTGGAAGCTGGCCCTTCAGAAGCCACAGACCCCCATCACAAGGCAGAGGAATAGATGACGGATTGCAAATGTCAGCCTGAGACTCCCAGGCCATCAGACCAGTGGGGAGGATACGATCACCTCTCAGAAGCCACAGACCCCCATCACAAGGCAGAGGAATAGATGACAGATTGCAAATGTCAGCCTGAGACTCCCAGGCCATCAGACCAGTGGGGAGGATACGATCACCTCCTGTCCCCAGCAGGCCACCTTCACTGCACACACAGAATTGGGGGAGAGTTTTCATCCTGCCACCCAAAGCCCACATTAATGGTTAACTCTACAGAGTAACTTGAACCTTGACTCATTAAATAATAAACTGCATGTTAATTACCATGATTAAAAAGGCACTTTGGTTTAACGTGAACTGATCACTGCTTTATTATAAGATGAAAATCCCCAGCCAGGGTTTGGAGCTGTTTCTCAGGCAGCGTTAACTGCTGGCTTTCAGCAACCCTTGAGCCAGGCATGGATCAGGGTTCCTATGACACAGGCTCCAGTTAAAGGGCCACAGCTGGGAACACAAAGGTCCAGCCCTACACATTTCCAAAAGAAACACTGACCCCATGCCAGTCACATGCCTGGTGGCTATCCTGCATTAACCACATAGGAAATTGAGTGGACAGTGCCTAAAGGGCACCTAGGTCTCCTATTTAGGTGTTTTCAGGAAGACACCAGTCCCCACTGCTCCCACCCCGACGCTGACCCTCACCCCTCCTGGTCATGAGAGCCCCTGACTTCTCTCTCTTACAGTTCTGTTCTTTTCCTCCTCTGGAAACAGCCTGACAGTGAGAAAAAAACAAACTAAATACATCATTTTTTAATATCTGCTCATCAATGTTTTCAGCCAATGCACATGAGCTGTATTTATGCCAAAGGTAAGTATTATAAAAGGAATTCAACTGTGACTCTCAATTAAATAAGAACATAAACCAACCTCCATGTTTGAGTAGGCCTCGGGGTTCTGCTGGTAAATCTTTGCAATTTGGTTTCCTGTAAAACGCTGCAAAAGGAGTGTAAATTCTTAGAAACCCAAATCCTACACAAAATGAGTAACCGACTCCATAAAATAAGTTTAATGTAGCATGCTCTGGATGTTAGTTGGTATAATAAAACCTTTTAAAAGGGCCCAAATCTGGAAATGCTTAATATCTGCTGAACATCCAAGACAATGTGATTTTGGCCTTTGAACTCTTAAAATGTTCTTGGTGATCGAACACTCAGGCAGTAAACAACTGCTCTGCACCACAGGGTATGGAAGTGATTTCTGGGCTTCCCAGGTCAGGACTGGACAGCCTTCGTGAATAACCCTGGCTCCTCACGCAGCACGATGACTGTTCCAACCAAGGCACCAGAGCAGGGCACTCCAGAGTCTTCTCCACCCACATTCTTATTGCAGGTGGCCCAAGTGGGGCTGGCCCTATTCTCAAATCCTCTACTCCAGTGCAGGTCACACGTCCCAAGTGGGGCCGATCACAGCCTAGGACCATGGCTGAAGCCAGCAGGAGAGACGTACTATTTTTTTTTTTACTTTGCCGGGCACTGCACTAAGTGCCTCACATGCACTGACTCCTTTCAGCTTCAAAACCACTCCAAATGTAAGTGCTGCTGTTATCCCCAGGTTACTGAGGACAAGACAGAGGTGCCATCCTCACTCCATACACAGCAGCTCATCTGAGGAGCACAGCATGCTCACACCTCAGGCCTGACCTGGGAGCACACAGGGAGGCAGGGCAGCCTGGGTCAGGACACAGGTGTCAGCGTGCCTGACCTGGTTCCACAGGGCCAACACCCGCACAACTTCCCGTGATCCTCACAGAAGCAGCTTGCCAGCTATGTCCTCCCAGACACCCAGGGAGAAGGGACCAGAGCCAGCAACCCACACCATTCTCTCTAACCAGCCCCAGTCCCCAGCCTGTCATGGGTGCTGCCCACCTCATAGGCGCGGGACCCTGTGAGGCAGCTGAGAGCCTGGGCCCCACCCACGGCAGCCTCCAGCTGGCGGCACTGGGCTGTGGTGCTGGAGTCCATCCATACCGGGCAGTTGCTGATGGAGAAACAGGCCTGGAAAGAAGGGGCAAAGGCACAGGCTTGATCTCTGTCTGTTGATCACTGCCCAGCACAGCAGGTGTGCCACCTCTTCCAGGATGTGACTTTGGAGACCCATGGGGAAGTCCTTCTTGCCCAAACCTCAGCCTGGCCCATTGGGGTCTCTTCCTTGAAAGCCTGAGGTTGAAATGCTTTCCTGGAGAGGGTGCCCAAGCACTACAGGCGACACTAGCAACAGGCAGGGAAGGGCTACGGCTACAGCAAAGCACAGGTTTTGCAGGGACTTTTGGAGTGCAGGAGAAAAGGACAGGCCAGAGCCCCCACCTTGCCAGCAGTATCACCAGGGGCATCCTGCACCAAGGGGAGATCCCTTACAGACATGGGGGGGATGACCCAGAGTTGCGCTGGGTAGGAGGGGACTCATGTGATGAGAGTTGTTAACACCTGAGCCCCTTTCCAGACACCAGGTAGACTCCATCACAGGGGGTCAGGGCAGACCATGCTCACAGGATTGTCACTGAAGCCACCTTCTTACACTCTCAACAATGCACAAAAGCCCCAGACTTCAGGGCCCACAGGGCTTAAGTCCCCTCTACCCACCTCTGCAGAAGTTTCTCAAACTCATGCAACATGGCCACGGTTACCTGCAGCTGCTGGTGTAACGGGAGGTCTGGTGACAGGTTTTTCAGCACCTGGCTGGCCCCAGCCTTCCAGTAGATACTTCCATGTTGCTGTTGAGGGGAAACCCAAGCACATGTTCATGCAGCCACACACTGGTGTCACAGCCTACTGGAGACACAGAAAGACCCCAGACCACACACTAAAGAACTAGGCTCCAAGCATGCTCCTGCCACCTCATAGTCACAGAGCTCACCACCTTGATGAGACTCAGTTTCCACTTCTACAAAATGGGGAGGAACTCTGCCCTGTCACCCCCAAACATGTAGGAAGGGTCTAAGAAAGAATTATTGGTCTATGTTTTGGTGCCTTTTGTAAAATGATATTTAAATATATTGTTTGTAATATTACCTGACATTAATTAATTCATTCACTCACCGCATTTATTCATTCATTCGACAAACATTTATTGAGCACATAGATCATGCCAGGCATGGGACAGATAAAAGGATAGTATTGTCCCTATTTTGGGGGGCATTGGGGTTGAGTCAGAGAAAAAGATACAAATGTGCAATTACAAAACCCTGTGCAGCTGCAGTGACAGGGCTGTGGGAATGCAGGGGAGGCACCTAACTAGCTGGTTACAGATGGGCAGAAGTGGGCACATTAGGGAAGAACGCCAGAGTTGGCTGTGTGCATGCTCCATTCAGGGAGCATCCACAGGTGAGAGACAGCCTGGCAGGTCCAGGGAAGGGTGGCATTCAAGCAGTGGACCTGTGGCTGGGGCAGGAGGTAGGCGATAGGCTGGAGGGAGAGGTGGCAGCTTCTCTCGGAGGTTGGGCTTTACCCTGGAGGTGGTGAGAACCCTGGATTAGCAGGGAAGTGATGTGGCCAGGGCTGAATGTATGAAAGGGCTCATAGCGGTCATGGAGAAGGTAGGCTGGAGGCAGGGAGGCCAAAGCAGAGGCCCAGAGGAAAATGACAGGTACTTGGCTGGGGCAACAGACATGGTACTGGAGAAGAGGTGGTAGATTCAAGAGTTGTGTACGAATCATTGGGACATGGGGACCCTTTGGATGTGGGGTGGGAAGATGGAGGAGTCATGGATGACAACTGAATTGTGCCCGAGTGAACAGGGAGAATTCCCCAAGAAAGGGAACCCAAGGCGGAGGAGGTGGGGCAGAAGACAGAGCAATCAGTCTGAGATATGGTAAATTTGAGGCATTTGTGGGACACCCAGCCACGGGAGCAGGGTATGTCCAGGAAGGAGATGGGTGCCCAGGCCTGGGGTTCAGGTGAGAAGTGAACAAGACCACACAGGGAATCTCGTTCAGTTTAACAAGAACCAGAATAAATTCCTGTTAGGTCAGGGGACAGAAGAGGCATCATCAGAAAAATTAATAAGCATTCTCTCAGTCTGGGATATGGTAAATTTGAGGCATTTGTGGGACACGCAGCCACGGGAGCAGGGTATGTCCAGGAAGGAGATGGGTGCCCAGGCCTGGGGTTCAGGTGAATCAGTCTGAGATATGGTAAATTTGAGGCATTTGTGGGACACCCAGCCACGGGAGCAGGGTATGTCCAGGAAGGAGATGGGTGCCCAGGCCTGGGGTTCAGGTGAGAAGTGAACAAGACCACACAGGGAATCTCGTTCAGTTTAACAAGAACCAGAATAAATTCCTGTTAGGTCAGGGGACAGAAGAG